TTTGAAAGTCAGAGGTTGCAGTGTTAATCGAAAAAGAGCTCTGTTTGAGGGTTCCTTAATTACGAACAGGCCAAAAAAGCGTTTGGCGCACAATGCTTCTCCAAAACTGACACCGAGTTTCATTTTTATGCTGATTATACTGTGCTGCTCTTTCATATGGTACCAATAATTTCTTGCACTTCTTTCAAAAAGTCCGGGAACCGGCAAAATGTGGGGTGTTCGTGTATAACGAACCGATCTTCATAATCTCATTTTAATAGCATAATCAAGGTAGTTTTAGAGGTGACAGTGTCCGACCTACTGTTAAAGCAGTGATTTTGCGAGGAATGTTCAGAATGTTTTTAGAAGAGTACAACGAGCGAAGGAAAGGCAAAACAGACATAGATGTTGAGAGGAGTGAATTTCACTTCTATTTTCATCATTAGAAAGACATTTCACTTAGTCTTTCCGCATTAATGCCAAACCGACAGACACCACACCAAATTAACGAGTTGTTTCTTCTAATTAAAGACAATGCTGCTCGCATAATAGCAGATCAGTTGACAAACCAGCCTCAAAATATAGTAAGTGCTGTACTCTGTAAGAATGAAATCATATCGTTTCCCAAAACAAAACCTGAACACGATATTCAAGGCTGACGAAGATAGAACGAGCTTATAAAGAATCGAGTTGGAATCCCGGGTTCCACTCTAGTTTGAAGCCAGTCCATCTTGCTTAACCATCATTGTAGCGAAACCCAAACTTCCTTTGATTCCGAATCGTCTTGGGTTCGTTTCCTACCGTCCGTACCATATCTCGCTGACTAGCAGATCCAAATGAGTTTCACCGCTTTATAACTATGCGAAATGTGCACAGATATACAGATTTTCTGCTTCATATATACAAGGTGTCCCAAAAGTATGTATACACAGTTTGATCGTTAATATCTCTCTTCAAAAGAAGTTTTTTGCCTTGTTTCAGGTACCGTTTTGTAGAGCTGGCTTCAACTTAGAGTTACAGTATGCAGAGAATCACTGACCGCTCTTCATTACTGTAGGTTTACGGTAGGAACTTGAAGCATATGGTGCGAATGTGAAAAAAGCTGCCATTTCAAAAAATTTTCAACAAAATGTGAAAACTTGTGTAATAGGGTTTTTGTGGACGCTGAGTTCAATACTCAACTAATCGCAAGATTGCGAAGCTTTCTAAACGGTGTAACCGCACTTTTTAGGAACATTCGAAAATGGCCGCTACCTCTTACCTGGCATAACTCTTCAATGAAGCATCGTACTAAGTTGCGAACTTTACAGTTAGATTCAGCAACTCTAATTAGCCTAGTGTAAAAGTTTTCAGGCTGTTTTGTTTCTTTTCTGAGGCAAAATATGCTCTTTCATGGCTCAAAACCCTTTTTGAAGTTTCTAGCGTAATCCTACAGTAATGAAGAGAGATGGGTGATTCGCCCCGTACTGTAAATCTAAGCTGAAGCCAGCTCTGCAAAACGGCACCTGAAGCAAGGCAAAAGACTTCTTGGGAAGAGAGATAATAACGATCAAACAGTGTATACATAATTTTCGGACACCCTGTATATATAGAAATGAAAACGGATCTTATTTTTCAAGGCGATAACATTAGCTTAAATGCCACATATGCAAGAACTATGCACGGAACATCAAAGATTAGGTACAGTTCATACAGTTCAGAAATATCAATTTGGATAGAAAAACAGAGATGAACTATAAGAAACTTTTAAGGAAGGGCCAGTAAAGGACAATGAGATCGAAGTAACATGTACCCTGAACTAGGAAAAGATAAAAAATCTCCAGCGCCATCAAACTATCAAATTATGAAAGAGAAGTACGTATTTGTCGTTGTCTTTCTTGAGAGTAGCAAACAATGGAAGCAAAACTATGCGACTTCGCCCTCACAACGTATATATTGTAATAATAGCAATAGAACTGTTCAACTATGTAACTGCAAATTTTTGTAGCTTTACAGTGAAATTCTCATAATGCCTGTTCAAAAAGAAAAATGTTTGGCATTTCGTTCTTCTTTCATTAGCAGTGATTCCAAATTCATGAAGAAAAATGCAATCACAATTTATGATGTTGATCTCGTTATGCCAATACGAGGTTTGGTGAAGCCTTTTATCAGTGCGGCCTTACGTTTCGACTTATCGTCGTCTTCAGAGGCCTAGAGTGGTGCGAGATTTAGTCTTATGCTTATTCCACCAAATGCGTTATCACCCTCAGGCTAGTTGCGTTCCCCCCTCCGATTTCACAAGAAAATTCGCATAAAGAGGAAGACGAACCAACCTCAGCGCCGCTTCACCAATGGTGCACTGGTGGTACTGTGCAACCCGTTTTGACGTGTCAGTAGTGCCAATGAACTACACTAGGCAGCTTGATATTATGCATAGTAGCACTACATTATAGCTCACAACGCTATGAACGGCATCAAGTCATTCGTAATCGTTGAACACTCCTTTCGGTTGTTCATAATAAGGTTTCTCTGCGAGATCCAGAATGCTTCGAGAGCTTTCCGCGCAGAAGTGTTGGTCTTGAAAGCCAAAATCAAACATTTACTTCGTAGTCTTTATCACCATGCACCTCATGTCTATGTTTCCCCAACGGTGAATTGAGACTGATACGCCTTTTGTTGGCCAAATCCTTTTATTCTCACACCAAATGCCCTCCATGTTTCTTCAATGTAGGTGGCGCCGCATTCAAAACACTCAAGCTGATATATCACTCCTACTTTTCCACAGTCCGACCTTACCGTAGGGCCAGATTATGCACTCTTTTGAGATACAAAATCTATCGTACAGAATATTTCGTACAAGCCGCTTCAAGATAACAAGATCAACATCATAAATACGACATGCCGAGGTTTCAAGAAAAGAGGACAACCAAACTACTGCAATCACAATTGTTTAAGGCAGCGACCAGGCAGAATCTCGACTTTTATCTTTTGTCTTACCCAGGCCTTTTCATGGCGCTGATTCCAAATATGGCACTCAGCGTGAATTTCTCAAAGCGCCCCATTTTTGGGACAATTTTGTGAAAACCACGGACGACTCCTAATGCTATCTTTGTCGTAAGCAAGCATTAACAAATACATATTAGTCGTTTTCAATACGTATTGGTCTTTTCTACCGTACGCCCTCCACCCTCAACATGACGTGGATTGGTGCGACGCCGCCTCGCTTCGGCTTGCGCCACGTAGCGGACGCTCGTTTGGCGTGGCGTGGCGAGAAAACTCACAGAACCTGGCAAAGGTTTGTGAACTGTCAACGCGATAAGAACAACAGCTCAACCTTATTCTTTGTCGTGACCAAGAAGTGTTAATCAGCTACATAAAGGCTGAGGCAGCCCAACCACCGTTTCGTATCCCATGTGGGTATAGCTTGCGCTTACAGTGTGTCGAGTGTGAGCGGCACCTAAACTTTGGCGAGGAGGAGCTGTGGGCGCCTCGCCTCTTGCGTTGCGGTTACCTTAGCTAATCGCCACAGTTGGGGAATCGACAATTACGCAGCTTGTAACGGGAGCCACGCGCCTGCTTGCGTTGATGGGACTTTGCTCGTCGACACAGCGGCACGCCGCTGGTACACCATGCAGAATGTGGGACGCCCTGGTACGCCAAGCCATTTACGAACGCCGCTGGTACGCTGCGAATATCTATATGAAAGAATGGTTTGTCCATTTAAAAAAGTTGAAATTGCGGGGCCTGCAAACCTAGTCTTTACGATTATTGGATCACTAGTCTATATACAAAGAATTGTTGTGCCAAATCAAAAAAGGTGAAATTGCGGAGAACCGCGCGACTCCCTCAACGAAGGCTCCTGCAGATCTAGCACATTTAGATTAGTTCTTCACTATTCAGAATCCAGAGATCATCTTATTATATAGTACTAGCTGGCTTACCCGGCTCCGCCGTATGTTCCGAATAGAAATTTTTATTTCTGAACCGATCCGGACCAAACTTGGCACACATACATTTCGGGCCCCGGCGGATGTCGTAGGCTACTTTTCGTCATCGATCGATGTCGCTTTTATCGATTTTTTGCAAAATTTGACACCCGCCGGGGCCCGAAATGTATGTGTGCCAAGTTTAGTCCGGATCGGTTCAGAAATAAAAATTTCTATTCGGAACATACGTACATACAGACATACAGACATACATACAGACATACATACAGACATACATACAAACAGACATTCAGCTTTATATATAAGACGTCAATCACGTACGATATCAAGCTCATCGCTCTTTTAATAATGCTTCGTATCTAAAAACGCAAAACTGGAGTCAGCGCCTAGGTATATGGAATCAATCAGATTCCAAATACCTAGGCGTCTTTTCAGAAGGCCAAATTATACAGTCCGTGTTAATCACGTGCCCCCTTTCTCGTAGGCGCAATGAGCTTCGCGCCACGTTTGCGCGTATATGGCTTGGGCAGTCAGATTGGCCTCATCGATTAGAGGTCCGCGCGCAGGCCCCTTGCGTTGCGCATGCGCAGTTCCCTTGCGAAAGGGAGTACGTAACTGACACTGACTGTAAGCGCCTTTTCTTGTTAGTCACTAAAAGATAGCTTCTCCTCCAGTGACGGTTATAACTGATTATTGTCCTTGGGACAATAATCAGTTATAACCGTGTTTGCACACTACCGTAGAAAACTACACCACAGTAGCAATGCACGCAGTATAGTGAGGTTTCAACTCAGTTTAGGTGGAAATTGGGCTGGCGGGGGTCCGCTTCGCAACGATTAGCGCCACTTTGCAGTCTGCGTCTCTTCACTCTAATCTATCCAGAGGCCAGTGGCGGTGCGGACGCGCTGCTCCACGTGGAATGTTCCGCCTACTCCGAGTTGAAAAAGACTGTACTTATTCGCCGAGTCATGCACTCGCAACTTCAACTATTCCACTGAGAAACAGCTTATTTTAATAAGTTTTATGTGTGTTCATCCGAAAGCGTTGAGCTTTGAATCTTCAATCAAGAACCAAAAAAACAGATGTACTTTATTATCAGACAACAAATAAATACTTATGCGATAAAAGCATACAATCATGCACCTTCAATGACCCATCATGTCTATTATGCAAATGAACGAAATCTCATACTAGTAGCGAAGACAGCATAAGTAGAGTAACTTAAGAAGATAATTGATAAGTAAAATTGAGGAGAGGTTTCTAACGAAGTATGGCAATATCTGGGCGACAAAAGCAAGAAACTGGCAATAAAGCTTCTAAGTACAATAAGTGACCGAAGGTTGTAGCTATGATTCAAACAGTCGGGAACAAGCAGATTCGCTTCCGATTCAAATATAAAATCTAGCAACTGCAGGAGAGTAAGTATCAAGTAACCAACCGAAAACTAATGGAACGCACTTGGAGGATAGGTCTCCATCACAAAGAAAGAAGATAATGCAAAATCTTACACACACGCGCAACCGCTTCGATGGAGCTTTTATGCGCGTGTTGAAGGATTGGATTGAGAGAAACTCAAAACACATAGCAAAGAAAATACCAACAAGAATTATGACTATTTCGGATTTGAAAAACTAGGCACTATAACCACCGCTATCAAACTAAATAACCGAACAAAAGTGGTACATATCATTCCCCCATATTAAAAATCACAATAAAACTAAATCAACGAAACGTTTTCACCCGTGAATTTGTATGACTCCTCAGGCAAGAGCGAGCTCATCCGGGAGGTTAGCTATCAAAAGATGCAACCTTGTCGTGACATACGCAATACGTAGCCAAGAAGTAGTTCTGACTGATGATACAATGTGGAGCGTCACCAAACTTGTTCGGATGACTTATCGAACTCAGATCGACATGCACTTCTTTTGCGACAAAGTCATAGAATAGTGTCACCTGAAAAGAGATTGAAAGAGGCGAGTCACATCATGAACTAGGAAGAATCAAACAACTGAGTCGGTTTAAAGCTATCAACTCGTCTAACAAGGAAAGGATACTTGGTGACCGTGGCCTTTTGAAAAGAAACGTACACCATTAAATGCATCTTGGTAAAAGTTAGTGATCTGGCAAATCGGAGATCGGAAAACGCATAATTTCGCACGGTACTCAGCATAAAATCAAAGCTTATCTAATCAATGCCAGAAGTTTGATAAACAAAATTCCACAGTTTCATGCCTTTCTTTCTGATTACAAACCCGATCTTGTTTTTATCACCGAAACATGGTTTTCTCCAAAAATTTTTGATAGTGAAATAATAGGCGACTTTCCGTATTGCGTTTTTCGATCAGATAGGACGACACGTAGAGGTGGCGGAGTGTGCGTTCTAGTTTATGCTGAACTCTTAGTTTTGAGAATTGATGTATGTGATAGAATCAAAGCAAGTATTTTATGTGTCGATATAATTTCACAAACCAAGCTCTTGAAAATAAAAACTATCTTAGCTTATCGACCTCCGAATAGCCAGATGATTGACGATGATCAACTAATTGATCTATTAGCTGATCTCGCTAGTGAAAACTCAAATACAATGCTTATTGGCGATTTCAATCTACAGATCGACTGGAGCTGTGCTAGACCTCTTAATAACATATCTGCAAAATTCGTCAATCTTTTTGCTGAACTTGGTTTGAAACAATTTGTTAATTTCCCGACACATGCAACCAACATCCTTGATTTGATTCTCTCATCAGCACAGATTATATCAAACGTACAAATATTGGCACCTCTCGCTAATTCTGACCATTCTATGATCACTTTTACTTTTGATGTAAACTATTGTACTCCTAATCTTCCTCCCATGCCTGATTTTGTCAACATAGATTTTTCATCATTGAACCTTTACCTCCGGAGCGTTGACTGGATGAATGTGTTTAACCAGTACTCCTCGGTTGATGATGTGTATCAAAGGTTTTGCAAAGTTATGTACGATGCCCTTAGAATTTTTGTGCCTTTTCGAGTTCAACATCATAACTCAAAATATCCTCTACACATAAGAAATCTGTTGGAGCAAAAAAATCGTCTTTCTTTGAAAAATCCACTTAATAATGCCTTATACAGAAAGATATGCAAGGATATCGATTACCATCTGAAGAGACTTCTTGGACATAAAGAGCGTAAACTTGCTGCTAAAGCTTCTTCAAAATACTTGCTCTGCTATGTTAAGAAGATATTTAGAAAAAATCACCGAATTCCAGTTTTGAAAGATACAAATGGCACCTACAGTACAAATTCCGATAAAGCCAATGCGCTTGATTATTTCGCTAGCGTTTTTAACCCTGTAGTTCCTGATTTTTTAACAGACAATGAAGTTGTCGCAGCTCAAGCTAATCGACATCTGTGCGACGTATACTTCGATTATTCTGATGTTTACAGGGTTTTAAAGTCATTGAAGCCTTCACTTACAGAACCTTTCGACGGCATACCCCAGATCATATATAAGGAATGTGCAGAATCACTTTGCAAACCTTTGACACACATTTTTAATATTTCTATGCTTACTTGCGAAGTTCCACTCTTATGGAAAGAGTCCCTGATCACACCGATTCCTAAAGTATCTTCCCCAGAACTGGTGACAGAATTTCGCCCGATCAGCATGACCTCTTCTTCGGTCAAGGTTATGGAAAAGATTCTGAGAGATAAACTGACATCATGGCTTTTGAGATCGGGTGCCATCCCCAAGGAGCAACATGGCTTCTTAGAAGGGGCTAGTACCACAACCAACTTAGCAGATACTATTTTTGACTGGACAATGGCGGTCAATAACAACCAATCAGTTGATATCATTTTCATTGACCTTTCGAAAGCTTTTGATAAAGTGTGCCATAAAAAGCTCTTGATAAAACTCAAAAGACTTGGAGTTTCTGGAGAGTTACTTTCTTGGTTGGAATCTTATCTATTATACATAACAGACACATGACTGTAAAAATTGGGCTTGCTTACTCCAATAGACACTCTTGTGATAGTGGCGTTCCCCAAGGAGGCGCACTTTCGCCTTTACCTTTTTTGATATATACAATGGATCTTCCTTCAATCTTGAAGACGTCACTTCATATTAAAGTACAAATGTATGCTGATGATGTAAAACTTTATGGAATCTATGACTCCTCAAACTATTAGGTTGGTAAGAAAGTTCTCGGACATTTTCAGAAAAAATCTGCTATTTCTCGAAACCTAACGCATATACATCGGAATGAGGTACCAATCGATAGAGCAAAGCAAGCTCTACAAGATGGTATGCAAAAGTTCACACCAGCTTCGACCCATCGTAAGTTTGTACCCAAGATCTGAGTCGTACCAAAATTCAAAAAATCGTGAAAAATTCATATCTTCGTTCAAACAAATCCTCCGAATCTCTAACTTGCTCACAAAAATTGCACACCACATCAGACACTCATATGCACCGTTCCTGTAATTTTTCATCTGGAAATCGAAAAAACGAAAATTTTCATGCTTATGTAAAAACGAAGCTGTGCTGTTTCCACCCATGTATTTAAATAGTACAAGCCCTTAGAAGTATAACCGTAAATTTTCAGCTTTCTACAGGCCCTAGCTCCCAAAAATTAGCGAATTAAGCGCTCCTCACTCGGGCGTTCCATGCTAAAATCAATATTTTTTGACAACTAGGGCCTGTAGAAAGCTGAAAATTTACGGTTATACTTCTAAGAGGTTGTACTATTCAGATACATGTGTGGAAACAGCACAGCTTCGTTTTTACATAAGCATGAAAATTTTCGTTTTTTCGATTTCTAGATGAGGAAAAATTATAGGAACGGTGCATATGAGTGTCTGATGTGGTGTGCAATTTTTGTGAGCAAGTTAGAGATCCGGAGGATTTGTTTGAACAAAGATATGAATTTTTTTTGAATTTTGGTACGACTCAGATTTTGGGCGAAAACTTAAGGTGGGTCGCAGCTGGTGCGAAACTTTGCATACCATCTTGTAGAGCTTGCTTTGCTCTATCGAATGGTACCTCAGTCTGTTGTATATGCGTTAGGTTTCGAGAAATAGCAGATCTTTTCTGGAAATGTCCGACAACTTTCTTACCAACCTAATATGATGAGATTCGTAATGCTTTGAAGACGTCCCTCGAAAAAATACTCTGTTGGTCACATGAATGGGATCTTCCCATAAATCTTGACAAATGTGCGGTCATGCATATCGGGGGAAATGAAGGAGCTAGTTATGAAATTAACGGAATCACATTAGCAGAATGCAAGCTGATGAAAGATCTGGGAGTAATGATTGAACCATCTCTCAAATTTTCTCAACATATAGATGTCATCACCAAAAAAGCATATAATGTACTATATGCTATTTTCAGATCTGTACATTCTCAAAATTCTGCCATATTCAAAAAAACTGTACAAAACTTTTGTCTTGCCTCATTTAGAATACTTTTCACAGATTTGGAATCCATATTTGAAAAGAGATGTCAGAAAGATAGAGAAAGTTCAACAAACATTCACACGTTTGTTATACTTCAAATGTTGGAAAGGCATAACTAGAGCTACCGTCCCATCTTACCCTAACTGTCTTGCAGAACTAAATATGAAAAGCTTAGAAGAACGGAGAAAAACTTTTGATCTTGTTTTCTGTTTTCGAGTACTACGGAAAGAACTGAGGATTCCTGCAAGCAAGCACTGGGTTTTTATGCCTACCAGTCCACGCTCCACTTCTTTCAGTTTGCATTATAACAGGAAAAGAAGACAATTTTTGCTGACGTACAACAACTTATTTTGCCGAGGAGCGAGATGGTTACAGCATTTACCTTCGAGCATTCTCAGTTCGACCTGCGGCTTTAGTTTCAAATCAAAATTAAGGAAAGTTGATTTGCAGCAATTTCTGTTTAGTCAGTAATACTTTCTTAGAGTAACTTTCTTTCCTTCAGCTGTACTGGTAGACAAGCCTACTGTGAATGGTATTACTCAAGAAGTTGTTATTGGCAAAGACAGTCGTAATCACAATGCAATGAAGGAAATAGGAGGGCATGCATACCAAATACAACCATCAAATTCTGTTCTTTTCTTTTTTTTCTATATTAATTTCTTTCATATGTCTTAGTAACCCAATATTCCCGTCACGTTAGTTTAAGTCTAATGTTTGCTTCTCTTTTCAATCAATATAGCTTGTTGACTTGCTTCTAATCGAATTACAAAAACTGAAACTATTTGATATTTTTTCGGAGTCATTGGACTCTCCCCGGAATCATTTGGGCAAGGTTGATCAATATTACTTCACCAACCAAGCCCTGCTTTGCTTATTTTGATATGCAAGAGCTTCTGCTGGCAAATGAGTTGGCATGATTGCCTTCTTCACAGATAACAATCAACAAGTTTGATTCTTCCCGCTCATTTATGAATTACCCATTCACTACAACCTATTACAATTCACTTAGAATCATTGCTCACCCTGGCTTACTGGTCTGGTGAAGTCAAAAATTACAGCCACCATCACTTGGCTGTTTGTTAATCAAAATCATTTTGCTGGCAAAACGGGGCATGGGTCCATCTCCATGGATCACATTATTCTATTCTGATAATTATAATCATGGAGCAGTCAAATACAAGCCTTCATCACACTTTTATCCAAATTGGACCCAAACTACGTGATGCCATAGTATTGCGGTTAAAGTATGTCGATCTTTCTTGATGTTTTGAGGTTCTTCTTCCTACCATTTCTATTCGAACGTCTTTTTTCTATTCTACTGGATTTTTTGTTTTTATAGTCTACACCTAATGCATTATGATTGAAATGGCGCACTTATGTGCAATAAATACCAAATCTTATATATAAAGCTGAATGTCTGTTTGTCTGTCTGTATGTCTGTCTGTCTGTATGTACGTATGTTCCGAATAGAAAATTCCATTTCTGAACCGATCCGGACCAAACTTGGCACACATACACTACGGGCCCCGGCGGGTGTCATAGGCTACTTTTCGTCATCGATCGATATCGATTTTATCGATTTTTATCGATTTTTTTGCTGAGTTCACCTACGGGGCTGGGAGTTGGCACAGGGGGGTAATCGAGCATGGGGATTCCGAATTCAATATTGGTTTTCAGGATTATCGATTACTTTTATCGATTTTATCGATTTTTTTGCAAAGTTTGAGCTACGGGGCTGGGAGTTGGCACAGGGGGGTAATCGAGCATGGGGATTCCGAATACAATATTGGTTTTCAGGATTATCGATTACTTTTATCGATTTTATCGATTTTTTGCAAAGTTTGAGCTACGGGGCTGGGAGTTCGCACAGGGGGGTAATCGAGCATGGGGATTCCGAATACAATATTGGTTTTCAGGATTATCGATTACTTTTATCGATTTTATCGATTTTTTGCAAAGTTTGAGCTAGGGGGCTGGGAGTTGGCACAGGGGGGTAATCGAGCATGCTGATCATCCCCAAGGGGGGTGATCAGCATGCTCGAACACCCCTGTGCCAAATTCCAGCCCCCTAGCTCAAATTTTCAAAAAATCGATAAAATCGATAAAAGTAATGGACGATCTTGAAAACTAATATTGTATTCGTAATCTGCATGCTCGATTACCCTCTGTGCAAACTCCCAGCCCCGCAGGTCAAACTTTGCAAAAAAATCGATAAAATTGATAAAAGTAATGGACGATCCTGAAAACTAATATTGTATTCGGAATCCCCATGCTCACTTCCCCCCTGTGCCAACTCCTAGCCCTGTAGGTGAACTCTGCCAAAAAATCGATAAAATCAATAAAAGCAATCGATAATTCTGAAAACTAATATTGTATTCGGAATCCCCATGCTCACTTCCCCCCTGTGCCTACTCCTAGCCCTGTAGGTGAACTCTGCAAAAAAATCGATAAAAATCGGTAAAATCGACATCGATCGATAACGAAAAGTGGACTGTGACACCCGCCGGGGCCCGAAGTGTATGTGTGCCAAGTTTGGTCCGGATACGGCGGAGCCGGGTAAGCCAGCTAGTATCAAATATCTTGAAGCGCTTATTCCAAATCTGTTTTCATTATCTGCTGTGCGCTCTTCCGAAAGAAGTTATGAACAGGGTCAAGCAAGGGGTGTGGCACACGATCGCTGGTTACGACCCCCCCCTGATTGCTGTCTTAATAAGACCCCCCTCCCTGGACTCCCTTAAGATAGCATTACTTGGAGGCCCTGTCAAACATAATGGGCAACATATCCATAATGAGCATGTCAATTAACCCCTGTAGACAAAGTTTGAGCGAATTCTGAAGATTCAAGATACTAGGCTACCTAAGTGAAATGGTCAAATTCCAACATGGTCAACTTTGTTTCAAAGGTGAATTAGCTATCCGTTTTCGCACTCAAGACAAAGCACTACTCCTTCTTTGTCCACCTCAGGAATCCCGCTTCAGAAGACCTCCAAACTGTATAATTAGAAGCCAATCAAAATCTCGTTTTTCCCATTTTTCGGTTTTGATCGCTGTGCTTTCACCAAATATTACTCAGAGCTAAGAAGACGAATCAGGCTCAAATCACTCCTGTGAAAACTAGGCGATCTAAACTATCGATTTGAGGGGGGGGGGGGGGGTGCCGCAGGCCATTAACTATATCAAAAAAAAACATTTTTAGCGGACAGTATTTATATGGATCGATAGCCTAGATCACCTAGTTTTCACAGGAGTGATTTGAGCCTGATTCGTCTTCTTAGCTCTGAGTAATATTTGGTGAAAGCACAGCGATCAAAAGCGAAAAATGGGAAAAACGAGATTTTGGTTGGCTTCTAATTCAATAGTTTGGAGGTCTTCTGAAGCGGGATTCCTGAGGTGGACAAAGAAGGAGTAGTGCTTTGTATTGAGTGCAAGAAGAGGTAGCTTACTCACCGTTAAGATGAAGTTAATCATGTTTTAAATTACTGCTTTATACAAGGTTGTTTACTGCTCGGAGACCTCAGAGTTCGCTGAAACTTGGCGCATAGGGGTTATTCGACACGCGGATCACGACAATTATGCTTGATTAGAGGTACGGTAGGTTACGGTAGGCATACGGTATCTGCAAGTTTGTGTCGTTGAACTTGAATTTTGCAGGATTTCAACTGCGCTTTCATCAAGTCAATTTAGTCACACAGCTTGTACAAGTGCTTTTGACCTTGGGTCGATACGACCCCCTTACCTACCCCCCCCCTAACGACCCCGCCCCCGCGGCGTGCCGCACCCCCCGCTTTACCCTGGTTATGAACATTTTTGTCACCAAAATTTGCACTGTTTTTGATGCAGGATTCACCAATATCGTTAGAATGTTCGCTTACGCGCTGGAAAGGAGCGTACAGATAAAATAAAGCTTCACGTTAAGCTTAGGAATACCGTCACCGATACATCAGAGTCTCAAAAGCCTGAATACTGACGATTTTGACTGCCTGAATCTCGCAAAATCATCACGGAAAAAAGTCCATAACTTCATTCAGGAAGTCGCACCGCAGATAATGAACACATATTTAGAAACAGCGTTCCAAGACGCACCTACTGGTATACATCTTTTTGCAAAAGACCACGGTCACCAAGTATCCTTTCCTCGTAAGGACAAGGTGAGGGACAGCAAGGTTTCAAACTGCGTTTGAAAGCACCGTCCAGCCAGGCTGAGGGGCTGAGGGTTGTGCATACCGGGCCTCAATGAGCAATTGCCCACGTCCCGCAGCAAAAGATGATTTCCGAAGCGAGAAAACTGCTTTATTAAGTACCTGCGGACACGTCCGCCTTGCCCATAAACTTGGGTGGTTGAAAATGATGCGTGCTAACTCGTACTTCAAGTAGCCGAAAATGTCAAAAATCTGATTTCATGATGAAAAGCAGATTTCTGAAATATCTAACTAATTGAAGCCCAATTCGGCACAGTCATTCAGACCACCGTTGATAGCCTGGACGGACGATCTGCTTGTACCTTCTGGATTTTCTCGCTTCAGAACGTCTTTTGCAGCGGGAGTGGAATCACTTTGTCAGAGACCCCGATATAATGCAGCATAGCTTACCCTCAATTTGGGTGGATGATGCCCTCAATAGGCCAATTTGGAAAAAAGTGGAAAAGTGGGCTTTTGTAACAACGAAATTTTCAAAAAAATCAGACAAAAAATGTTGAAAAACAAAGGAAAAGCGATAGAGATCAAAAGGAGTATTAATCCGGAATTTGTGAGTTACCACCAACCTCATAGATAGCATTTCCAGGTTTCGTTCTGAGCTTGATTTGATAATGAGCAAACGCGGTCTTCGTGTTTCCGCTGAGATCCGGAACAAAACCATCTTTGTCCTTCACATTTTTGTACTTCAACAGTCCTTCATTCGGTACAAGTCTTAAAGCACTCTTATCAAATCTCTGCAACTTCAAAATCTTTTGAAACTCACTTTTTCGCTTCAAGGAGTTCTTTGAGGGAAAGCTTGGCGCATAGATGGAGTACATCCTTCAACTGTCTGTTGATGACACTTACGATAGCAAGCGCCAACTTTTGCGATATTTCCTTATCTTCAGGGGTGTTCATAGCGTCTTGCCAATTGAGGCATGTGCACCAGTGTGCATCTACGCCAGCCTGAAGACAATAAGCGTGAGCAGTGCCCCGAATCCATTGGTAAAACAATCACCTGTGAGCATGTGCGATCCTCCGGAATTGGGCGGAAAAGGGACAATGACCGTTTGCTAGTGTCTTGCATAGCGAAATCTTTTGGAAGATGGAGGATGTCCATAAGTGTGGCATGGATGTCAAAAGGCGTTGTCAACCTGGGAAATCATCATCGCCTTGAACGAAGAGGCAAGTATTCAGAACTTCACCTGTCCTTGTTCGCCAGAAGATTCTCATACATTTTCTTTCCAATTTCAGTTTGGCGGAATTTAGCTGGCAAAGAAATGGCAAAGAATGGCAAACGCTAAATATGAGACTATGTAAGACAACAAAAAAGCAATAGTTTGACTGACCTCTTCGAGTTGTCCCTGATGTGTTTCGCGTAATTTCGCAAAACGATGGCCATGATCAGCCATTGCAATCACTACAGCATCATCCAGTTCACCTACAAATGTTAAAAAGAATGGAAGTAGAAACTCTTCGTAGGATCTACACTGACGAAAGCAAAATGAAAGCTTGCAAGGCTACTTCTGACTTTGAAAAATCAGCGAACGAACCTTGCATTTGAGTAAATGAATATATACGTACAACACTACAGGCTCTAAACTCCTAACTAATGAAATTTCCACCTAATCGAAATACGATGTGATGTTATAAAGGACCATACCACTCTTGTGCATTTCCAACAATGTGGTTGCAAGATCTTCATCCTCCACTTCCACCAAGTTTATATCATCATGTGAAAGTAGACTTTGATGCATTAGAAGAAAACGTGGCATATCCTTGTAAACTTGCATGAATTCTCGCGAATATCGAAACCATGTCTAAACACAATGCATTGGGACGCTGTAATGGTAAAAAAAATCTGAAGTAACCACAAAGCGAGCGGTAAAGTTTGAGCATTACTACAAGAAGAGAACTGACCTTGTGAAGAGGCTCCGAACCAAGGCAGTTTCCTCCTTTCTTCTCGTAATCTTTGAAAATTGTCCGGAGATAATGATCAGTGGGCTGGTTACGGAAACCTTTCAACCGATATGTGAAAGTTCCTAAAGAGTTTATGATGATGCTCTGCACTGCACTAAAGGGCCGGGCATACATCACGCGGTTTTATCACCTCGCGATTCTCCCAACAAGACAACTGATACAAGTTCCTTGCATGTCGATCATCTTGCACTTCAGTAGTGATACTTTTACGGAGCGAGCAATCGCAATTAACTATTACAACCGAAATAGAAGATGATCGACATGAAATGAACTCGTAACAGTTGCCTTGTCGGGAAAATCTCAAGGCGATAAAACTGCTGGTACGCCCACCCCTTAAAGCGAAATACCACCTAACAAAGATAATAATCAACTCAAATTTCTGCATAACATGGTGAAAAAACGCAAGTTCTTTCCATCTATGCAAGTGTAATCATTATACAGTGACACTGGCAATGCAGTGGCAAATGAATTCAAACGTCATCACACTGAGGAATGGACAATATTCTTATGAGCTTACCTATAGCAAATGCATCTTCCCCATATAGTGTCACATATCCAGCAGAGGAGAAGTTCGACCAAATGAAAGGATAAACGTCGTCCACATAATTTGCATTCTGGAATCGCTTTCTGAAAAAAAAACTCACTCAAAACTGACCCAACAAGCACACAAACATCAAAGAACATAAAAATGAAGGTGGCTGTAAATTTCATAGAATCAAATTTTGCAAAAATGCAAAATAAAAGTGATAAGAACAATTTTGACAATAAATAAGAATTATACCTGGTCAAAGGAAGTTCCTCTTCAGTCGATGCAGTGAGAATCGGAATAAATGCTTGAGGTGTGCCATCACCAACAATGTTGTACCCTTAAACATGACAGTAAGAAAAACAAAATTTACTTCAAAACGGATTCTAAACGAGTAGACAATGGAATTAGATACATCTTTACAATAAAATTAGCGCTTACCGTTCAAAACCACTGCGTCAAACACTTTCTCCAAAACTTTGACAGATTTTGGCAATTTCCGCCGGAAAGACATCTGACTGAGCGAATCGAATCCCAAAAAGTATACATTCAATCCAGAGCCATCTGGACTTTTCAACGAGCCACGGTTGAGTAACTCTTGATCATTCCGACGCACAACACTCATCAGTATACCGTTCCTAAAGGGCAGACATCATCCCTTAAAACAGCGAATGTTGCCTCATCACCATTTTTGCTGTCCATCTTTGCACCTAACGACGGCAAAATCAGATTTCATAGGATTACCGGCCGGCAGCGAGTCAAACGGAGTATAGATATTCGTCTGATCACTCTTCCTCGTAACGTATGATCCTTGACATTTTGCATTCTTCCTTCAAAAAAACACTTGGACTATTGACATGGGCAAATTATGATGGTTAGGGCAATATTACCTGCTTTCTATATACTGCACATTGTTGGCACCATCGATAAAAAGCCAATTTTGAGGATTTTTTGAGCATTCAAGAGGGGTTGCCTTGAAAAAGAAGCCTTTGACTTCCGATCCATTGATATCCAGCTTCGGTATCCGACATGTCTGAATTACAACAACAAAGCTAATTCGAAAAAAAGTATCAATTTCATAATTAAAAACGGCTCATTATGTGAAAATCTCACTTGTCCTTCCAAATTAGAAGCAGCTGCGCCAGATTTCTTTTCCCCATTCTTTCTTACATCTCTATCGGCGTCCTGCCCTGTCACGACTACTTTGAAGGGAAGCTGCAATCAAAACCATTAGATACAAAGGTTACCGACTTCGATTACACCTTACATCTGGCTCTTTGAAGCTAGGAATAGTTGCAGGACGAGGCATGCTAGGGATTTTGAAAGTTCTAGTATTTCCTTCGACAAGCGGTTTACCACTATTGTCATGAACATTGTAAGCGCTGTAGATGAATATGAATGAGACTGTCACTATGGCTATGATTGCTAGCTGTCGAACTCGGAATATACCAATCATGGTCCCCAGCCTGCTGTACCGATGGCGAGTACCCTGAAGTGCAATTTCAGTTTAACACCCCGCAGAGCAACATGTTGAATACGGTGCAAAGGATCATTTTCTCGACAGACGAAATTTCTCAAGAAACAGACATTAACATCACAATTTGAAGAAGCAATTGAGAAGAAAGTAAATTCCCAAGTTCACTGTGTAGGAAAGGCAGATGCAGCAAGGACTTGAAACGGGCATAATCTGAACCTAACGTGCCACTGATCGTGCACCGGGTCTGAGCTCCATACCTGGGCTTGTTTCGGACAATGATGAAAGCATTATTTGAGCATGCTCAACTGCAGCTCATAAGTTCGATTAGAGGGCGAGCCGTCTAAGTCTAAACCTTCAAAATCTCGCCCAATACCGTACCCGAGGACGCTGATGGGCCCGCTAAGTACGGCACATTTAATAATACCAAACAGAAACTGGAATATTTAGACACTGATTACAGGACTTTCTACACAAAAATGGGCACGGCAATCACTCAAGGTGGTTCAAGAAGACATCACTCTATTTAAACGCCTTGTGTGCCGATGATAATGTACAGGGCTCCTAAATTGCAGAGTCGTTTGCACCAGCGGCCGCGCGACCGCGTCGCACCCGAGCATTTTGCCGGCGCCGGCGCCATCGATCGAGGCGGGGCCATTGATGCCCGGGCGCGACGCGGTCGCGCGACCGCTGGTGCAAACGACTCTACAATTTAGGAGCCCTGTACGTAACATGTAGGGCATAAGAACATAACACTAATCAAACATTTATGCCCGTTTCGACTTTCAATCTCAAAATCTTTCATATTAGCCAGTCAGTCCTTAGGCCCCGGTCAGACTTCACGCGACTTAATCGTCGCGATCTAATCGCCAAGATTTCCATTCATTTTCATTTCACATTCAAAAATGTCGGGCTGGAAAAGTATCACAACCGAATGCAAGTTGATCGGCATGGAATGATGTTGTAACAGTTGTTTCGTCGCGACTCAGTCGCGACGATCAAATCGCGTGAAGTCTGCCCGGGGCCTTACACTGCACAAAGTATGGAAAGTTCAATCCAAAGCCGGATACTCAACTTGTGTGGCACCGGAAATGAAACTAGGTGGGTTCATCTACCTCACATTTTTTAACTCGAATAGCCGGCCTTGGTTCAAATTGATAGGCATTTTGATTTCGATATTGCAATGTCGCCATACTTACTTAAAAGCAGCGTCTCGGCAGATTTTGCATTTCCATCTTTTTGCATGTTTTGGGCCTTCTCGCCCGTAGATCCCGAATCTGAGTTTTAAAAGGGGTGAAAAGGCCTTTTTCGGGGCGTTTTTTTTCAATTTCCAAAAGGCAGCTCGGACGAGAATTTCAAAGGAAAGTGGGGAGGCCCTGACACGAAGACCCTGCTGCCTGTAATTTTGACTTTGTATAGCATGCACAATGCGGGGAAGCGGTTGGGGGGTCCCGCACCGTCTAGCGGAGAATACTCGTCCGAAAAAGGTGTTAGGGGAGCGAAGGGAGGAAGGGGAGCGGCGCTTGGGCCGCCCCCTGGCTTGCAGAGTTCACATTTTCGGCGCGGAGTTGCTGTTTTGGTTCACTTGGAGGGCCTCCTATCCATCTGTGTCAAAATCTGAGGTAGGTCAATCTGCCGAGCCGCTGCCTTTAAGTAATTAGATGGCCCGTCTTCACGTGGCGTCCGGGCGTGCGGGCTTCAGCACAAAAATTACCTCGATCCCTGTCCCTCGCTTCAAACATCCACATTCTTCTTGTTTGACGTCGGTGGCTGCGTCCACGAGTTTCAGGTGCAAAAATCGTATCCAGTTGATTTCTCAGCTGGTCCATCCGTTCCACGAACACGTCTGCCCATCTCGTCGGTGGTCTTCCTCGGGGACGTTTTGTTTCGCGAGGAATCACTCCGATGTTCTTAGTGTCCGTCTGTCGTCTGTTCTTCTCATGATGTGACCGGCCCATCGATGTTTGGCTTTCGCAATGTATTCCGCTGGGTCACAACACGGGACATTCTTCTTATATCCGTACTGCGATACTAGATGTTGCTTGCGTCGGGTGATCTTCAGAAGACTGCGCTCGATCGCTCTGTGGGTGGTCCGTAAAGCTTTCGACGTGGCTACAGTGTCGGCCCAAGTCTCAGCTGCGTAACGGAGCGGCGGGAGAACCGTTGAGTCGAACAAGCGGGCACGAAGCTCCGGGTACGTCAGCTGGTCGGCCGGCTTCCTTCAAAGGCCCAAAGGCGGCCCAGATTGCTCTTCTTCTCCTGTTAGGTTCTTCCTTCAAATCGTTCTCCAAGGCCGCGGTGAACAGCTTCGGCGAGATAATGTCGCCTTGTGGAAACCCTTCCCAATTGGAATGGTCAGGCGATAAAATAGCTGCATCGTTGTTAGACAGTGCTTTTAGCAGTCGGCTAGTGTCCTCACGTACGCTGGGTCCACTCGTTGATCAACTGACGCTGACAGAATGGCGTTCGTTTCGACGCTGTCGAAGAATTTTTCGTAGTCGACAAAGGTTAGGACGAGAGGCAATCGGTACTCCAGGCAGACTTCTATGACCCTCGAAACCGTCTGGATGTGGTCCATGCAAATGAACCCCTTGCGAAATCCAGCTTGTTCTTGGAATAGGGCTCTTCATCCAGTGTCCTAGATATGCGAGCGAGGATATTCTTTATGAAAAGTTTGAAGAGCACACTCGCGAGGCATACTGGACGGTAGTTCCGAAGATCCTCCGTTCCCCTTCTTGAAAAGGACGGTTCTCGTTCTCCACTAATAAAGAATCTTTTCCTTCTGCAGGTAAGATGTAAAATGCGACGCTAGAATGTGTAGACAGTGTCCTCCGGCTCGCAGAAGTTCGATGGAAAGATAATCTAGTCATTCCTGGAGCCGTGGACCTCTTCATGGTCTGAGTCGCTGTGCGCACTTCAGCAGGTAGTTCGTGCTGGTGCTTTCCCAGTGGGGAAAACGGGCATCTGCACAGTTGTTGATGAGCGGAAGAGGTTAGTGTAGAAGTTCTTCGCGATCAGTTCCATCTCATATCGAAGAGAACTCGGGATCCCGTCTTTGTTCAATAGTGCAGCCAGCGATACATGATATTCGTAGAGTTCCTTTCGGCACTTCTTGAGACTTCGTCTTTCTTCGGCTTCTTCCAGTATTTTGGCTTGCCTGTACTTCCTGAGATCCTCCTGCAAAGCTGTTCTGCAATTGGTGTTCTATCAGTCGCTCGAGATGGTTTGCATTCGGATCCTTCCTCAAAAAACTTCTTCTTCCGAGCAATTTCTTAGTGAACTTCGGAATGCGTCAAGTTCTTCTCAGAAGTCTCTGAGGCGCACTCTCCGCAGGCTCGCAATCCTTTCAGAAGCGGGTCGTAGTCGTACGTTAAGTCCTCCTCAATGCTCCAGTCACAACTTGATATGAGCTCTTTTAACCTGTTACCGTCATAAACGACTTCGTTCATTTTTGCGGCGTTGGACAGACCTTCTTTCCCAGCTTTCGACTGAATCGTATTTTCGCTCAAAGGAGGCGGTGATCGGAGCCACTGCAGAAGGATGGAACTACTGAAACATCAAGCAAGCTCCACCTTCGGTTTTTGAGGATGTGTCGATCTCCGCGTGAGTCGTTCTGCTGGGCGACTCCCAATTCCGCCGGCGATGTCTTTCTTCATGAAGATGGAATTTCCATGGAAAATCGTGCGGCGGAAACAAGCCTTACAAGACGGTTGCCGTTTTCGTTCCGGAGCCCATATCCAAACTAGCGGATCCTATATTCCTCTTCTAGTGGCATCCCGATCTTCACGTTGAAGTCGCCCACAACGAACTTGTAGGACTTCTCGTTACGGACGACCTACTCCACGTTTTCGTAGAAAGCATCCAGCTCTAAATCGTCAGCTGCTGATGTTGGCGAGTAGCACTTGATGATGCTGATGGTCTTCTGACGTGGAGGTTGTAGTCGTAAGATGGTTGGACGAGGTGACAGGATCTCATGCGAATCGACGAAATGGACGATAGATGGATGGACGATAAAGCAGCGCCTTCAACGTATCGTGATGGAACCTTCCCACAACTGATGAGTCTCCCATCACTCGTCTGTCGCACGTGCTTCTTCGTGGACTTCGTTTCCTGCAGAGCGATGATGTGGTACTTGATGTGCTCTGCTGCGTCGAGAAGGGCGTGGTCGGCGTTTGTGGAGACAGTCCTGACGTTCTAGGTGCAGAGCATGAGGCAGTCTCCATGGGTTCTTGCTACCACCCGGCGCCGTAGGCGGGATACGATGTGCAGGGTTTTTTCTATATCTTCTTGCTAACTTAGTAATAAAATTTTTTCCCTCCACGAGCAAACTCACCAGGCCAACTCTTGATTTCCACGGGCGATCGGTGACCCGGGTGTAAAGCGGGGAGGACCACCTAGCGACCGGAGAAAGTCAGACGGCGCTGGCCTAGCCGGCTCATAGCTGGGCATCCGGCCGAAACCGAAAACGTCAATTTCCTTCAAAGCTTGTGAGGCCCTGCCAGGGTGCACTCGGCTGTGCATCGCAGTTCGACACCCAGTGTCACCCCCACCACGTTGAGGCGGGCGACCATTGTGGGGGTGACACTGGGTGTCGACCTGCTATGCACCATATATGTCGACCAATGGCGTACCGAGAGGGGGAGGGGCGCCCCCCCCTTGCAAGAATGAGTCTAGAAATTTTTTACAGTTACTTACATAAGTTATAAAAATGTGCAAGTGACTTACTTACACTTGTAAATAATTCAAATAAATTTTAAAATCTTTAAAATATTCAATTTAGCCTTGTAGAAAAAAATTTTCAGGGGCGTGGCTGAAGCCACGTCCTCTTTTTCTAAAATTTTGGGGTTATGGGCCCACGCAAAATTTTGAGAAGCACACCAAAAAAATTTTCGTCGACATATACGGCTCATGACTCTTCAAAGTTCAACGCTAGCCATACTCATACAGCGCAAAATTACAAGAAGTGAGAGACGGAAATCATTCCATCTAGCATATGAAGCTTGTCGGAGTTTTCTCATCTTCGAGGGCTAACAAAACGGATTCTG